CGCCCATCGCCAGCCAGGGCTGGCTAAATGAGGGCAGGCGGCGGGGCGACATCGCCAGCGCGTCGCCAGCCCCCATGACTGACATCGCCAATATTTTGAGGAGAAATGGCCAATTTTCCTCAGGAACTTCACTCCATAGTGTTAAACAAGCGCCAGCTTGCTGGGGGCTTCGCCCCCAGTCCCCCAAAAGGGAGGCAAGTGCCGACAAAGCAACAGCGGCGCCGCATGTGGCCGCTGCGCTGTGCCAGGCGCAAGGGTGGCTCCCCCGCATTTCGCCAATCCTCAATGTGCCATCGCCAGCTGATTGGCGAAATTTGGACGCGACAGCAGTCCTCATCGCCCGCCCATCGCCAAAGCTGCCACGAGGGCCAGAAACACTGCCTGTGGACATCGCCGCCAGCGCGGCCACAGCCTCCCCGCTGAACATCCCGGCCAGGCAGCACAGCAGGAACGGCGTCATCTTGTGGCAGGGGCGCTGCAGCAGCAGGGGCTACTAGGGGACGGTGGGTCGCCGTCAGCAGGCAGGCAGCAGAAGCGGCGGCAGGTAAAGGTAGTCTCCACCATGGCTGCGCCCCTGCATGCCGGCCTCCTCCCGAGGCACAAGGGTGGCTAGGGGTGCCTGGGAGCGTTCAGAACTGTGCCAGAGAGAGAAAATGGCAGCGCCGCCCACACCGCTCGACGCCCATTGGCTGCCAATCACTCACCTGCTGATGCTTACGGGGAGTCTGGAAGTAGATGGGGCAAGAAAAGGTTGGGGTTGAGGCTCGGTTCTTCAATCTGATGAGCGGGACTGGGACAGCTCGGCAGCGAGGGGGCCAAATCGTCATGCATTGTCCGCGGGACCTCTGCCACGCACAGATGCAGTGCGAGGAGCGAGCCTGGCGCCGCTCCCAGCCCAAACGCTTTGGGGGACTCTCCCGCCTCCGCCACCGGCGCCTTACAAACGCCGCTGGCGCCCAAGCAAAAGTGCTATCTTTCGCTCGCCCTCACGCCTGATTCTTCCGGCCTGGCATCATAAACCACTTGCAGCATGCGCTGGTGAAAAACATGAGATAAAGGGCAACCTCAACACAACTGTGACGGCAGCACCGCCCAGCAATTGCGCTCAGCCGGAACGTGCAAGTGTAAACTCATTATCTCAAGAGTCAGTCACCCAGAGGTAGAAGTGGCAAAGCAGATGTGGATCGTCAGATGTAGGATGCAGGGGGGAGTGTCAGGTACGTGAAGGAACAATACTGTGCGCAGATGGAGGGTACAACGACAGAACCGCAGGGAACCAGAACAAACAGTAGGAAACCAATGAGAGAATGGAAGAGAGATAGCAAAAAAATGCACTGAGCGCATCCATGCCGCCCAGTGCAGCAACTTGCCTCGCCTGCCTCGCTCACCCCACGATGTGGCCCCTGTCGCAAGCAGCACCAGCAGCTGCCGCGCTCACGCCAGCCGCCGCAGAGCTGGCGCCCTGCATCACGCTGCCGCTGCTGCCGTGCCGCAGCCAGGTACCGCTCCCTGCGCTGCTGCTGCCCGGCGCCGGCGCCGCAAGCAGCCAGGGGCAGAGCTGTGTCAGCTCTGCAGCAGCAGCCGGGGGATGGCGGCATGGGGTTTGGCTGATTGACTTGCACAGAGTCCCACATTCAGGATGTAAGGCACAGGTGTGTACGCCAGCCTGCCGGCCAGCTGATGCTGTATGCAGCCATTATGGAACGAAAGGGTGCACTCCAGCCTGCTATCCATCGGCAACGCTGGCACAGACAGGGAGGTAAGGTGAGCACCTGGGAAGTAGGGCTCGGCTGCCAGCAGCGCCCGGGCGTGCTGGATGGGCGTCAGCACCTGCTGGGAGCGCAGTGAACAAACCAATGCGCGCAGCAGGCTCAGCATGATTGAGAGCGGAACCTGGACCGTTATTGCAGGCGGCGAAGCAGCAACCGGCTGATGCCTGGAAACTGTACAGTACAGCGGCGGGTGGCTGGTGTGTGTGCAGTATGCAGCGCAGTGGCGGCGGCGGCCACGCGGGGCCACACCTCCCCCAGCGACATCTGCAGCTCCACCACCGCCCGCATCTCGCCAAAGGTGCAGCTGGCGAGGCAGCCCAGGCTGGAGGACGTGCCGCAGTACGCCTGCATCGCGTGGAGAGGGCAGAGGGAGGGGGGTCAGGTTGGCTGGTGGCTGGTGGTGGTGGAAAAGTGTAAAAGCGAGGGGATGCCAACTGCACTGGCTACACAGCACGCAAAACACGCAACAACCGAGCGGCTCGGTCCCCGCCTGCGCCCGCTCGGTGCTGCTGCCGCCTGCCAAGGGGTCGTATGCGTGCTGCTGCCAGCCGGCGCAGTGGACCCCAGCGCACCACTGGGCCTGCACACATCGGGAGCCCAGCCAGGAGCGCCAGCGCAGAGTCAGTACAGCAGAGGATGGGCCCCAGCGCGCTCTTTCTGCTTTGGTAATAAGCACGCGCAGGGGCATGGCGGGGGCTCGCCAGACAGACCCATGCACCACCATTTACCCACGCACAAACGCCACAGCCACACACACACAGCCACGCATGGTCGACAAAGACATGCCCACACAACAGCCGCACCTGCAGCACGGCGTCCCCAAAGCGCCGCCGCGCCGCCGCCGCGGCCTCCAGGTACCGCCGCCAGTGCTGCTCCAGCACTTGCAGCGCTGCGGGCGACAGTGCCGCCTCCAGGTAGTGCTGCGGGAGGGAGAGGGAGGCAGGGCAGCGGGTGGGGCGCAGGGAGGCAGGGACAGCGCGGCGTCGGGCTGAGCTGCGCGGAGGCGCGCTTTTGCAATTCCTTTTCTGATGCAGGCTGGCCGACAGCAGGGCTGGCAACGAGACCAGGCTAACACCAGGGTCCCTGGCGGAGGCCAGCTCACCGCGACGGGCAGCAAGCCGGCGGGCAGCGGCGGGCGGCCGTCGGGGGAGGGGGGCGCGCCTTCCCGCGGCGGCGGGCAGGTGCAGGCGCCGACCAGCTCAACAAAGTCGGTGGGCCGCATCTCTGCCAGCAGATCCAGGATCTCGAGTTGCAACCGAGCAGCCATCCAGCCAGCAACAGCAGCGCACGCGCGGGAGCCCTTCGAATGCCAGCAGCAGCGCCGGCATTGTCGCAGCACGCATAGCAACAGGCAGGGGGCATGACGGCGGCCGCAGCGGCGGCAGACCCTGTAGGGCGGCCGGCAGCCCACCCTGCTTGCGATGCGGTCGGTGATTGTCTTCTCCAGGTTTGGGCGCATGGCGGGGCACGCCTCCCACTGCACCAGCAGGCGGCAGCACCAGCGCGCGCCTCAGGGCAGGGGAGTGCTGCTTGTGCCCAGGCAACGTGGTGCACAGTCCCTTGGGTGGATTTCTAGTTGTGCCCAGGGCCCGGAAAACAATGCAAGGCTGCGCTGGCGGCAGGCAGGGCGGCCTGCAAGCGTCCCTCCCCGCTGCACCTGCTCCACGCAGCGCTGCAGCGTCTTTGTGAAGAAGGCTCCCCGGCGGGACAGCACCGCCACCGGCACGACGCGCATGAACAGCCGTTTGTGCCAGGCGGAGGGCCGGAACTGGGAGGCCCACATCGATCGGTCGCCCAGGAGCTGCCGCACCGCGTGCAGGGTGCCGCTGGTACCGCTGGTACCGCGGGCGCCGGCGGCGCTGCTGGCGGTGTCATTTGCCGCCACGCCGCGCCGCAGCGCCGCCTCCTGCTGCTCCATCTGCTGCTTCAGCACCATCACATGAGTGGCAGCCCACTCCAAAGTGGAGGGTGTGTCGTCGGGGGCAGCGCCCGCTCTGACCTGCAGGCCCGCCGCCGGCGCCGCCGCAGCTGCGCTGAGGCCCTCGCTGTCGCTGCTCATGCCGCACTGCACGCCGAGGTGCGGCCACCACTGCTGCCCCGCCTGCCGCTGCTCCCCTGCCTCCTGCTTCATGTGCGGCTGCGCCTGCTGCGCCTGCTGCTCCTGCAGCCCAGACTGCTGCTGCTGCGCCCCCGGCTGGTGCTGCAGCTCGCCTGCCAGGCCTGAGGCCGAGTGCCAGCCGAGGGCATCCAGGGGCAGTGCCTCTGGTCTGGCGGTCGCCGCGCAGGTGGAGCAGGAGCCGCCGCCAGCGGCGCTGAAGCCTGCAGGCGCGTCCAGTAGCATGGGGGCCGCACACTGCTGCTGCTGGTATGCGTACCCGCCGGGCATGAGCCCCTGCAGCTGCTGCTCCTGCTGCTGCTCCTCCTGCTGGTGGTGGTGGTGGTGCTGCTGCTGCTGCTGCTGCTGCTGCTGAGCCAGCGGGTCCCCCGCCAGCGCCATGCAGCCGTCGATGGCCTGGGCCAGGGCGCCACTGTGCAGCGCCTCCACAGCGCCCATCTGGTAGAGGGCCATCCCTGACAGCGCCGCATTCTCGGCCACCAGGCGCCGCCGCTCCTCGGCGGCCGCCGCCACCTGGCGCCCCACCTGCCGCACCTCCAGCTGGGCGGCCTGCTGGGCGGCCTGCAGGCGGGGGAAGGTGTCACCGGCGTGGGAAGCAGCACACGGGGCCAGCCCGATACCGCAAGCCTTTTGCAGCGCACACGTCCCCCTGCGTGCTGCGTGCCATGCCCAGCCGCACCCGCTTCTTCTGACGGTGCTTGGCATTCGCCAGAGACTTTTTCTCCCGTGCAATCTGCAGCAGCAGCGGCGGCAGAACGGCAGGAGAGGGTGTGGGCGGTGGCGGGCGCTCGTGGCGCCGGCGGCAGAGCGTGGCCCCAGCTGCCGCGAGCAGGTTGTTGGGTCATGACCCGCTTCATGCCGCTCCAAGTTGCCTGCTAGCCCCCCGTGCACTGCAAGCACCTGCAGAAGGGCTGCGAGAGTATCGTCCTCTTGCGCAGCGCCGCTGGACGCCATCGAGGGTCTGCTGATGCTCGCAGAGGTTCAGGTCAGTTGATAAACGCCGCAGCGTGCGGCCCAGGAGTGGCCGACGGGAAGGCCGCGTCTGCCCTCACTCTGCACCCCAGGCTGCAAAAGGGCCCCGATTGCGCAGTGCGAGGCGCCGCCATGCGCCGAGCGCCCAGATGAGCGCTTTCATTTGGGACCGTGAAATGCATGCTGAGCGGGCGGGGCAGGCGCATGTGCCCGGTTCCCTGCGTGGGCATACCCCCGTCGTGCATCGAGCGGCATGCAGGCCACATGTGGTGGCCATGAGGCATGGATACCAGGTTCGGTGGATAAGAGGCTCCGTCACGGCCGCCACCACTTTGGCGGTGGAGTGGCCTCTGCCGCATTGGCCGCCCCTGGTCTCATGCGCTCGCTCGCTTGACTTTACAGGGTAGCATTACTGTACACGCATTGGTAGTAACGTAAGTTATTCGGAGTGGTGCAATGACTACCAGAATATGGTATTACATAAAAGGTCTCTGAAGCTGAAGCCTAGCACTGACTCCGAGTCGGTACCACTGACGGCATCGGAATGGTGTCTGGAGAGTCTCCGCCTATACAGCCCAGCCGTGCTGCGGGCCCTTGCAGCCGCCCCTCACGCCAGCCTCCTGATTGTGGGCAGCATGCACGCGGCCAGCTTGCCCCAGCCCGCGGCGGTGGGGTGGATGGCATCTGCCATCAGGCCGGCATCAATGGAGCGCCCCCGGATGAACAGGCGGCCGCAGTCGAGGAACACCACCTTGCCCTTCGACCTCTTGGCGAATGCCCTGCAGCACGGGGGGGGTGCAGCGGCAGCAGCAGGCGGCTCAGCGGCGCAGCGTGGCAGCGCTCTGCAGGCCGTGGGGCTTCCCACCGCCACGTCTTGCCCCTGCATGCGCGACGCCGCTCGCCCTACGCGAATGCTTGCCATTTACAAGCAGTCAACAGTGGCCCTCCTGCAGCCTGCACGCGACTCTGTCTCACTTGAGCTTGGCGTTGATGCGGGCAATGGACTTGGTGTAGTGTGAGGGCCAGCTGAAGTCGTTTTCTGCATTCAGCAGGCCCCTGCCAGTACCGGTGCCACGTGGCAGGATACCCAGCAGGACCACCCGCGTGCCCGGCATCTTGCGACGCATCAGTCCCACCGCATCCAAGATCCTGCAGGATCGAGGCTGGGGCAAGGTTGGCGCTGGGCTGGCCGCCACGCGACAGCCGCTGGTCGGGCAGCGCCAGCAAGCACCAGAGGCGCGGCAGCGCAGGCGGCTTGCGACACCCATGCCTGCCCAGCTTCCCTACCCCTACACAGCCTGCGGTGCTGCTGCATCCTACAGGCATCCAAGCCAAGAACCCGGACGGACCCCTCTTGTGCCCCACCCCGTCCCTCACAGGCCCCACCTCCACACACAGCTCACCTGGCCACAATGCCGGGCTCCTGCTTGGCCAGGGCCTTTTCCTTGGCACTCTGCACGGTGGCGCTCCAGCCGGAGTTGGTGAGGTCGTTGGTGCCAATCAGCAGCACCACCACCCTGGGCTGCAGGCGGGAGCGGGGGGCGAGGAGGGGCAGGCGGTTTGCGTCAGCCGGGGATCTCCGAGCGAGCGGCCCGCATGCCCGCTGGGCTGCAGAAGCCGCTGCGCAAGCGACGGGTGCAGAGCTGCGGCCGCTGCGCGGCGCAGCAGCGGCGCCTGCTCGGCTGCTCGTGCCAGGGAGGAACAGGGGGGCAGCAGGCGCAGGCGCCGACTGTTGGCGCCCAGCAGCAGAACTGTATGCCGGTGGAAACTGGGCAAACCCTCCAGCGCCCCCCGCCAGGCCTCGCCTTCTTCCTGGCGGGTATCTCGCCATGCTGTAGGCGCCAGAGCAGGTGCCCCGTCTCGTCCATCCCCATGCCCATCACCCCGGGGCGGTAGCGGCCAAACAGGCGCTGGAACAGCTGCGCCACGCCCGCGCAGCTCGACCGCCGCTGCTCCTTGTCGCAGGGCTTGCACCGGTCGGTGCCGCGCAGCGACTCGATGATGGAGTCGCCGTAAAAGAGGATGCCGAAGCCCTGCGGTGGTGGATTGTGGCGTTGCGGCACAGGCCAGCAGGCAGGGGAGAGCGCCGGCACAGGCCAGCGGCGGCAGAGGCGGCACCAAGCAAGTTTCTGCGGCGCGCCGCCCGGTTGTTACCTTTGATCTGTCCGCCTGCTGGATTTCATTCAGCCTCGTTCTTGCGCAGAAGCCGGGCCGCGCGGTGGGCTTCTTTGCGGGCAAAGCCTGGACGGCCGCGAGGTTCAGCGCCTCGCTCAGCGCTATCAGAACTAGCCCCACATGCAACCTCATCGGGATGGGCAATGGATCCTTGCAGCGTGGGTGTTTCGAGCAATGTCCCCAATCAGATCCTGCCCCACACCCCCCTCAGAAGGAGAGGCCCTCTGCCCACAGCAGCCGGACCAGCCGCCAGCTGACACTGACGAGCGAACTCGCGGCTGCGGTGAGATGCGCGAGGGGGGCGGGAGCAATACACTCCTGCACTGCGTGGCGGCAGCTTCTCAGACCGTTGGAGCCGCCGCCCGCCGAGACAAGCTGAGTTTGCTCGGGAATGGAACTGCATAGCAGCTTGGATGCTGCGCAGAGGACAGCAGCGAGGGATGCCCGACAGACTGCAGTTCTGCCCAAGCTCTGAAGCCGGCTTGCGATGTCGAAGGCGGGCAGCGCCCAGCCCGCGCGCATGCTCGCAGGCGATTGAGGCACTGCGACGACACCTGGCACTGTGACCACTGGTTGGTTGGCAAGTGGTCCAGGCATCATCGCAAAGCGCGCGACAGATGCCGCACTCTGCGGCTGCAAGGTTGCCAGCTTGCTGGTGCCCCCTGGACTCCCCCCCATCTAAACCGCTCGCCTCGACTCTTGGCACCTTTGCTCACTCCTCTCGCCTGTCCAGGAGGATCTTCTGCCAGGAACCAACCTGTAGACACTACACCAGTACCATCCCGCGTTCTAAACCTCCGACGCTTCGTGTTTCAAGCAAGCTTACATGAGGACCGCCGCCATGCTTGGCTGCCTCTTGGGCGTGCTCCTGCTGGCTGGGCGGTCCGCCGCCGCCGCCGGCCGCGTTCCCAGCGCTGATGGCCTGCAAGGTGACCGGTTCAAGGCCTGGAATTATCAGGTTGACTGGCAGCAGCGAGCCTCCCTGCTTGCGCTCGCTCTTAGGTCGGCGTCTTGGAGGCCGCACCCAGCGGCGTCTCAAACCGCCCACGCCGCGCCGCCCTCCAGCCTCCTTCGCACCTGCTCCCCTGCCTGGCCTTCCTGCAGGCCGGAAGCTGCTCCAGGACCCCGACGGCGCTCTCTCCAATGAGCAGTGCTGCGCCGCCATCCAGGAGGGCCGGCTGATCAACTGCATCTGCTCAGCCAGCCCCGGCGGTGACACCGGCACCGCCCAGACCGACGGCACCACCAAGGGCCAAGGCACCGCCGCCGCCAACAACGGCGGCAGCACCGGCGCTGGCGGAGGTGCCGAGGCAGCCCCGATCGGGCAGGGCGTGAGGTGCCCCGATGCAGAGGTGGTCCTGGAGCTGCACAACCGCCCCCGTCTGTCCCGCGGCGCCCAGCCCCTGCAGTGGAGCGAGTCGCTGGCCGCCGACGCGGCCGCCTGGAGCGCACAGTGCAACAGGGACAGCTTCGGCTACTCGGTGGGTCTGCTTTTACTGCCCTGAATGGGCACACGCTAGCGCTTTGCAGGCGGCGTCGCGTGCGAGGCCTGTCCTCTCTGGCGCGCCTGGCGCCCCCTCTCCAGCGCTGCCGCTGCCTGCTCACTGCTGCAGCACTCGCCTGGTTCAAGTGACGGTTCATGGGGCGAGAACCTCGGTGAGCAGCACATGCATGGGGTGCCTGCGGTTTTCACGGGAGGTGTGTGCTCTTTGCCCCCGCACCCACATGGAGGGAAGTGTCTTGCTCCTCCAGCTTTGCCTGCAACTGAACCAGCGCATTGTGCGCCACCTGATGCATTCCTGCTGTGCAGTTTGGGGTGAAAACCTGGCGAGGCGCGCACGCAAAACGGCTCACAGCGCCACAGCTGGGGGTGCCTGCTTGCCTGCCTTGTACGCCTGCTGTCAACCCTGTAGCTGCACCATGGACCGGTGTTGCGGTCACCCTGCCAGCTCAGCATTCACCTGCCTGCTCTTCTGCGCATGCAGGCCGGCGCCTGCGCCACCGGCATGCAGTCATGGCTGGATGAGGAGGCCCTGTGGTCTGCAGACAACCCGGTCAACATGAATGCCGGCCACTTCACGCAGGTGGTGAGTAGGCAGGAGGCGCTTGCACTGGTGCACACGGCATGGCGGCGAGCGTCGACCAATGGCCTGCTCCGAGCGGCAACCACCGGGTGCAGCGCGTCACAGCATGACGTTTCGGGCAGTGCTCCCAGCGCCGATGCCCTGCAAGTACTTTTCTGTCAGCAGTGGGCAGCAGCCTGCCTGCAAGCCTGCCGCAGCTGGCACCACCCATCTGCCTGGCGGCCTCGCCCCCTTCCCTTGCAGGTTTGGAAGGTGTGTGCTCCTGGCTGGCTCCCTCCACTGCCATTCCTCCGCCCCAATCAGCTGCCCCCCGCATGCCCTTTCAGCCTCAGCGCCGCACACCCATGCCCTCCCTCACCCGCCCAGCTGCCGCTGCCGATCCTGCACCTGCAGGCGACCACGCAGGTTGGGTGTGGCATCGCCGTGTGCCGCCAGGGCTCCTTCGGTCCCGAGTACCTGATGACCTGCAGGTTGCCATACCTGCATTGGCGGAAGCGCTCCTGGAGCGCCATGTTGCCTCGTACACGCATGCATCCGTGAAGGTGCAGCGGTACATTGAGGACGTGTGGGGGGGCAGCATCTCTGCGGAGGCCTACACGCCTGCGTCGTTCCTGTGCGATGTGCCCGAGCGCCGGCGCCGGGTGCGCCTGGCGCAGTGGCGCACGGGGTCGCACTGGATGGCTGAGGAGACAGGCCGGTGGCAGCGGCTGGACCGCACCCAGCGCCCATGCCCCCACTGCCAGGCCCCTCTAGAGGACGTACGCCACGCAGTGTATGACTGCCCCCTATACGCCGGGCTGAGGGAGGAGTATGCTGAGCTCTTCCACAGTCCCGGCCACGCCTTGCCCTCCCTGGCCGCCTTCCTCGGCCAGGCCAGGCAGGGCCGGCTGGCCCGGTTTGCCGACCGGTGCCATGAGGAGCATGCTGCTGCCCTGGCACAGTGACTCCCCCGGTTCCCTTGAGTAGGGCCCAGGCATCTTTTGCCCGGCATTGGCTCCCGACCCACCCCCTCCCCCCGCAGGTAAGAGCAGCGTCAGCGTCAGCAAGCAGCGGTCAGCGGCACCCCCACCACCCCCACCACCACCTCACACACTCACTGGCCCTTGCGCGATGGTACGCCGGCATGTTGGCATGGGAACGCCAAGCCCGGCACAGTAGCGGCGGCTGATTGAGTAATGGCACAGCCGACCGACGCGGCAGGCCACTTTGCACTCCTGCCTGCAATGCATGCACCCTTACATGTGCAGCCTTCTGGTATTTTCATGTGTCTGGGAGATGTGCGGGCATGGGGGCCCATGTGCCCCATGCCATTTGAGTGCCCGGCGGCGGCGCTGCCTGCCGCCGGGAGCCCGCACCAGCATCGGCACCCGTCGGCTTGGCAGGCCTAAGCTGCTAAGGATCCCCACGTCCCCCACCACGTTGTGGGGGTTGCGTGTCCGGCAGGACGGGGAGCGGGGCCAGGGTGGGGTGACCCTGGGACGCTCAGCTGGGGGGAGGGTGGTCGGAGCCATGGAGAGGGTGCTCCATGGTCCACCCCCTCTCTTGATGCCCCTTGATCACGTGTGCCCCCTGCCCAAGGTCTGCTCACGCGGCCTATCATAGCGGGGTGACTGTAACACCTATCAAGGTTGGTGGGGTGGGGGAGCAGAGGCAGCACTCCGACCACGCAACGCTCCTGCTGGAGCTAGCAGCACCCCCGGCGGTACAGCGGGACAGCACGGCGCAGAAGGAGCACACCTCCGCACCCCCGCAGCAGCGCCAATTCGAGCTGGGGACAGCTGAGCAGCTGGCAGCAGCTGTGGCGCTCCTCGCAGGCACGCAGAGGCAGCTGGATGCCCTGGCAGCGGCAGCGGAGTCAGCGGCCAGCCCTGCAGCCCTGGAGCAGCTGGCAGCGGCATTTGCTGAGCTCATGGTGGAGACCCTGGATGGCGCAGGCATGCGGCAGCGCAGCAGCAACGGCGGCGCCCAGCGACCACACTCCCTCCCCCGCAGCCTACAACGGCAGTACGGCATCCGCGACGCAAGAAGGGCGCAACGCAATGCGGTGCAGCAGGCAGCTGTTGCGCAGCAACGTGGCATCGGCCCTGAGCAGCAGGACGCAGCCCTGCGGCGGGAGGTGGGACGCTGCCGCAACCGCCTGAAGCGCCGGCTGGTGGCAGCGTGGCACAAGTGCCAAGCC